AATATAAATTATTTATTATAAATCTAAAATATAATCTATATATTTAAAGTATCTATTTATAATTTTAATTATGATTTATATATTCAGATATAATATTTATTTATATACATAATTTATTATAAATTTTAGTTACATATAATAAATATTTAACTTATACATTACACATACTATATATATATATATATACTCTCACATTGTGAAATAAGGTTAGGAGGCGGAGGTATAAACTTCCTGCACTTCCCCTCGTTTTAGAGGGAAAGTTTATTAGGGTGGGATCCAAAAAAAAAAAAACATTTTTCTTTATCATATTTACTAAACATGTTCAATTTTTCAATTTCTTTCACACTTCCTTAAACTTTCCTATACTTGTCTTTCACCCTCCCTTTACCAAACAAAGCAGTAGTGCCACTATTTATTAATGTGCACCTGCGTACTTTTTCATACTAAATACTGGACTTTCGATGTTGCCTCACTTCATGTACTTCTTTGATGAGTTAATTAATTAATTAATTAAACATTTAGTAAATAGTAAAACACCTAATTGCTAGCATAACACTACAAGGCATTATTTTGTTAGGAATATTCTTTTCTGTCCTTTCTGCTGCATACATACATGCATGTGCCCATTTATATATTCTCATTAATCCATTACATAAATAAGATAAAAGAAAAACACATGTTGGTTTCTACATGATTTACCAATGGTTGATTATGAGTTATTCATTTCAGTTGAGGTTTTGCTATATGCTCCAACTCGCCCAGTTGTAGACTACTCAGTTGTCTTTTTGTGGTTGATGGCTGTTGGAACGGTTATATGTGCTTCACTATGGTCAGATATAACTACTCCTGATCAATATGATGAACGCTATAATGAATTGTCTCCCAAGGTTTTTCCATGCAACCCTATATATAAAAGATTGATATATATATGGTCAAATGTGTTCTTATGTACTTTTCTTGTTGTTTGACGTGACTGTGAAGTGATTTAAGTTATCATAATGCGAAGGTGTGCTTCCAGTGGCTAACAATAATTCAACAATGTTCAAATGGCATGTGTGCAAATCTGCATTTCCTTTTATTTTTGTCTGCCTTCTGTATAGTTAGCCATTGATCATTTCAATCAATTAACTGTTAGAGTGGAGCTATGGAGCATGATTTCTTCCAATCATTTTGTTTACTGATTACAGTCTTAAAACATTTTTATGCATCTGTACATATAAGTTTCTTTTGTTTTGCTAGGGAACTAAGACTGAAGCAGGGAAAGATGATTCTGAGGACTTGGTTAACATAGATACAAAGGGTGCTATCGTCTTTGTTATTTCAGCATCTACTTTTCTTGTGCTACTGTTCTTCTTCATGTCCTCTTGGTTTATATGGGTTCTGATCGTACTTTTCTGCATTGGTGGTATTGAGGTGAGGTAGCTCATTTTTGTGGATTTTACCCCTAACCTTCTAATTGAAAAAATATCTTATTTCATGGTGTGCTCAGATGTTGGTTCCCTATTCTTGTCCATGATTAAATTGCTGTCTATATATAATCTAGAAATATGTATTCTAATTCAGTTAAGCATACACCGTTTAAATTATGCTATATATTGACCTCGTTGGAGTTCATAACCAAATTATAGAAAGATAATTTAGCCTACACAGATTACAAATTTTGTATATATTGTACCTGATCAAAAACATAGTAAAATGATGATAATAAGATTACATAATTACAAATTTCTAAATAAAATTCAAGATAATTATTATATTTTATATAGAGAGAATAAAATTAAAAAAAAAATATTTATATCAATTATTTTAGACTTGTTATAATTTTTTAAATATTCATATATATATATAGAGAGAGAGAAAAAAAAAAGAGAGATTCAGTTACTCAACTCAATAACTCATCTTTTACATCAAATTTCAGTGATTTGACTGTTAAATTAAAAATCCACAATGCATAGTATGCAAGTTTTTTAAAAATTTGAAAAGTGTTTGATACTTGACTTCATTAATTTAAATTGATGAATAATCATATAAACAGTAGCCATTGGCAATCAACTACGCAATGGACCCATTCCGATTTACTTACGTTGAATAAGTCCGTTTATCTTTTCATGCTTTTTCCAACTTTCAAGAGAATTGGTTTTTGAAACCACAATACGTATAAAATGCTGATGAACATTTGGATTCTGTTTTTTTTTCTTATTTTCTTTAAATTCTTCTTTTCATCAATTGAAGTCTGTTTTCATTTCAGGGGATGCACAATTGTATTGTGAGCCTTGTTTTAAGGTAAAATGATGTTTGTTTTCTTCTAATAAAAAGGGAAATCAGTGTTCTTTTTGCGTGTTATGTCTCTTAATTTCTCATAATTATTATTTTCAAATATATGAGCAGAAAACGTCCAAATTGTGGTCAGAAGACTCTGAATTTACCAATGTTCGGAGAGGTTTCTATTTTCTCGCTGATAGTGTTACTATTCTGCGTGATATTTGCGGTTCTATGGATTGTTTTTCGGCACGAAGCATTTTCATGGTTTGGGCAAGATTTTCTTGTGAGTTCCAGTTTCTAATTACGTGTTCAACAGGTTTCTATTATAATTTCTGTTTCTAAATTAAAACTTCATGACAGTGAGGCAAACGTTGAAATTTATTGTTCATAATGCTTACTATATGAATGCCAATCTCTTTTCTGGAAAGTTGTCACTGAATAATGACTCTAATTGAGCAAGCAGAGATCCCATGAGGAACCCAGGAAATTGATTTTTGGAACAAGGGCAGAAGTTGCACTGATTTCTAGCTCTATGTCTGCGATATCTTCATATTTCCTGGAAAAAATTTGCATACATTTAATTGCAGCCACTTATTTACATATATACATATATGTAATATGGATGTGCATATAAGTGTATGCATATGTGCAGGCAGACATATGATGCATATATTTTTATACTTCATCATTGTGAACATGTGTGCTCCTGTCGAAACAAAATTGCTGTCTTGTTTAATTTTGAATTAAGCTTTCTTCAGCATTGCTCTGAAAAGTGGTTTGTTGTCTCAATTCTGTTTGTTACCAATATCATTCATTGATTATGAATATTTTATTTTATTCAATTTACTTGAAATATGGCTTTATTCTTGTCTTCTTGACAGGGCATCTGTTTGATGATAACAGTCTTACAGATGGCTCGATTGCCTAATATTAAGGTACCTGAATGAGTACCTTTTGCTTATAATTGTTATTTCCTTACTCATTTTGTTCCAATATCTATTGCAATATTTCTCTAATTTCCTTACAAATCTTATTTCATAGGTTGCAACTGTACTCCTTTGTTGTGCATTTATATACGACATCTTTTGGGTATTCATATCTCCAGTGATATTCAATAAGAGCGTTATGATTACAGTAAGTTATAGTATACCCCCGATCATAGTTGAATATTGTCATTCATCTTGCTATAAATATATAGATTATACGTTTTTATTTTTAAATTTTTGCATTCTCGTTGCTATGATGGACTTTGTATATATATTATTAAATGTACCTTGTGTTTATTACACTGAAAAGTTGTCCTATAGTTATATGAGTTTTCTTTTCTAGGTTGCTCGTGGTGACAAGGCTGGTGGTGAAGCAATTCCTATGCTTTTGAGATTTCCTCGTCTTTCTGATCCTTGGGGTGGCTATGATATGATTGGATTTGGAGATATTCTCTTTCCTGGTTTGCTTGTTTCCTTTTCTCGCAGGTATTGAATTCCTTATTTAGTCAACAACTTGAATAAATGAAAGATTTATAAACTTGAATATATGTGTATATATATATATATACTCGTTTTCAACATTTTGCCTATTTTATTTTTAATGTACATTTGACAAGATGCTTTGTTTTGAACGTATTCGTTATGGCTTTTGATTGTCTCAGATTCGATAAAGATAATAAGAAGGTTGGCTTTAGCGGATATTTTCCTTGGTTGATAGTTGGCTATGGCTTCGGTAAGTTCTTCCGTAATATGTTTGTGTTGATAACTTGGGTAATTTCTCCTCCACTTGAGTTTGTGTTGATAATGTCTTGGTCCAATCTGGGGCGACTAGTCTGTGGCATTCTAGTTGTTCCATGTTGATTGGTCATTTATTTAAACTTGCATTTTAAATTTAAAGCTATTATACTATTCAGGCCTCTTCTTCACATATCTGGGGCTATATATGATGAACGGTCATGGACAACCTGCACTGCTCTACCTTGTACCGTGTACACTAGGTAACTAGTTTTGTGTTTTAATCAAGAGTGCAATGGTTCTCATCATTTAGCTAATTGTTTTCAACTTATATCGACAGGGGTCACTGTGGTATTGGGATGCAAAAGAGGTGAGCTAAAGAGCCTTTGGAGTTATGATGCAGACTCGCCTACGTCCACCAAAGAACCTTCTCAAGTTTAGATCGTTACTCTGTTCTATGCAACTGGGAAATGTTCGTTGATACATCAATATCCGTCAATGGGATGCAGTCTATACAGTTATTAGGAGAGATTCCAGGTGTACTGACAATTCTTTAACTATCTATTGTATTTTGTGATTAACCAAGGATATGTGAATGTTCTTTCTGCTGCTTGATAGTTGTTGAAAAAAGAACAATGAAGCAGGCATTTTTGGGTTGTGTTTGGATGACAAAGTAATTGAAGGTGCAACCAATGTGATGATCGTACAATGTCAAGTGCATTGTAATATCGATAATTAATTGTTTGATTATTATTATTATTATTATTATTTCAGCATTTAACTTGACACCATTAGAATAAACTAAATTTTCCTTTTTTATGTTGCATTATTATCCTTTCTAATGTTAAAATACAGAATAAGTTACATTTCTTGTATGAGAGATAAGTATTACATTAGTTTTCCTTATGTTAAAATATATATCTTATTAAAGTATGTATTTTCTTTTGGAAAAATATTGTTCGAGGTAAGATTAGATACTAAATGTGGATATATCTATATATATATATATATATATATATATATATATATATTATATTTTATCAGAAATGCATACCTTGGTTCACTACATTGTAAAAATTTTGCGTTAAATATATTATTTAGTCTATTAACTTACATTGTTGTAAAATATTTTTCATAAGATTAATATATATATATATATACATTATATCATTAATACTATATAAGAAAATATGAATTTATATAACTACATATATAAATATTTTATTAATTACAACAATTAAATATTACCTTAATATTTGTATTAAATTTAAATGTATGACAAAAGATAAAAGACAAGTCTATTAAAAAAGAAGTTCCGAACCATAAAAGTTGTCCACATTAAAAAATAAATAAAAATGATACAGCGTCCAAACATATTAGTCGAATTTGGTGCGGAAGCTCTAAAAAATAAACGCATGTAAGTTTAATAAATTATAAAATATTAATTAATTAGTTGGTTTTAACTTTTAACTCTCCTTAATTTGTTCCAAAGATAGAGTAATTATTTGGTTGAAGGATGGGTATTTGGTAAAGCGACATGAACAATTTAAAATCGAACGAGAGTGACAGAAACAGAGGAAGATGGTGGAGGCATTAGGACGTCCTTCAACACCCTCGTCCACCACCTTGAAAATGTCGTAAGTAATCAGTCAAATGACAATGTTTCATTCTTCAATTCAGTAGATCTGGGTAACGAATTTACAAATGGAAATGGAAACACTAGTAATTGAATATCAATGGAAGTCCAAATTTTTAAATCATATTTGAAGTGTTTTGGGATTAAAGTCAACTAAAATGGACTAAAATAAATTAAATCAGCATGATTTTTTTTTAGAGTTAATCACCTATATATTGTAAATGTAAAAAAATTTTATACTGACCAATTATATTTTTTAATTGTGTCATATTATTATAAACACATTTAACTTTAACAGTGACATGACACAATCAAAAGATATAATTGGTTGTTAGTGTAAAAAAACTTTATGTATAAATGATTAACTCTTTTTTTATTGGTTTATGGTTAACGGATATTTTAATGCAGCTTAATTATTTTTAACATCTCTTTAAATATTTTTTTATTATTCAAGGAAGTATTTATACCAACTCTTGTTTCAAACAAAATTGATCATATGAAATGAAGCTTTAATGATCAATAGATTATACTTTGAAACATTTGACTCTACATTAAGAGATATAATGAGAACTGAAATCGAAGACAATAGTGATAGATTATTTTGTGGAAAAGTAATTTGGGGAGATTTTAGGCAAGCTTTATCTATTGTGAGAAAGAGAACTACATATGATATTCTTAGAGCAGCAATTAATTTTTCAGAAACATGGAAGAAAAGCAAAGTTTTGAAGCTTACAAAATATATAAAGTTAAATTCAACAAAGGCAAACGAAAATGTTCCATATATAAAACGGTTGGGTACCAAAAAAAAAACATCTTTTTATCTTTTACGCAGAATAATAATGATGAGAATCATGTTAAAATAATACCATAAAAAAATAGAGAAAAATCACACAAATTTATTTAACGTGATTTAGCCCTTCATACCTATGTTTACAAGGATGTTCATTATTTATCTCAAATATATTACATATATCCTGAAAATCTTCCCTTCAAGTTTTGTGGGTTAAACTTGAAAACCCATTCTTCACAAGTTTTATGAGTGAAACTTTGAAACTCCCTCCTTTTATGGCGAAACTTGAAAACTTTCCTTTATATGATCTTCTCTTTCATTTAAGACGGTGACCTCCTTTACAGGTCAGATGATTATTCTCATATCAAAAGTCTCTATTTATTGATCTTACATTATAATTTTAAAAGAGGAAACAAATCTTTAAAATAAATAAAATATATTTCAATTGAAAATGAATTTTGTTGTCATATGCACAACTTGTCATGAATAGGTTCAATGGAAGATGAACAAAAAATGTTGCAGGCAGTGGCAATTGAATATGATGGAAGGTGAGTGTATATTCAGAATTTGTGTGTTTTGATTGAAACAAAACATGTGTTATTAAAGTGAGAGAAGCAGTAAATAAGATGGTAAAATTGGATTGGTGCGATGGAAATTTGAATTTGGTGAAAAGTGAAAGAAAAAAGGCGTAAACCCTAACACTTAAGTTCATTTGTTGGTAAACCCTACTGAGGAGCTGAAGCTGATCGGAGGAGATGGATCTGGCCGTTATACTGCAAGCTGCTCTGAGTCCGAATCCCGATGAGCGAAAGGGAGCGGAGCAGAGGCTGGATGAGATGCAGTACGCCCCACAGCATCCCGTGAGCCTCTTCCAAATCACCGTCGACACCAACTGCGACATGGCCGTTCGTCAAGTCGCCGCCATCCATTTCAAGAACTTCATCGCCAAGAACTGGTTTCCCGATCAACTCTCCAAAGTCTCCGTTTCTCCCTCCGATAAGCAACTCCTCAGGGACCACATCCTCCTCTTTCTCCCTCAACTTCCTCCTCTCTTGAGGTACTTTTACTTTTGCTATTGCTAAACACACCCCCCCCCCCCCCCCCCCCCCCCCCCCCCCCCCCCCCCCCCCCCCCCCCCCCCCCCCCCCCCCCCCCCCCCCCCCCCCCCCCCCCCCCCCCCCCCCCCCCCCCCCCTCTCCTTCTCACTATTCTTATTCACAGGGTTCAGCTCGGCGAATGCATCAAAACAATTATTCATTCCGATTATCCGGACAACTTTCCTCATCTTCTAGACTGGATAAAGCATAATCTACAGGATCAACAGCAAGTCCACGCTGCCTTGTTTGTGCTGCGGATTCTCTCAAGAAAATACGAGTCAGTTCTTTTTTCCTCATTCATACTCTCTCTCTCTCTCTCTCTCTCACTGTAGCAACCATCTCTCACTCTTGCTTTCCAGGTTCAAGTCAGACGAGGAGAGGACGCCTGTTTATAACGTCGTTCAGGAGACGTTTCCTCTCCTCCTCAATATTTTTAACACCTTTGTCCAAATTCCCAATCCTCCTCTCGAAGTCTCCGAGTTGATCAAGCTTATCTGTAAAATATTCTGGTCTTCCATCTACGTACGTTTTTTCTCCCTCTTTTTCTTGTTATTTTCTTCCCTTGAGTTCTCAATATTGACCATGCAATTCCCTCATTCATTCAGTTGGAGGTTCCCAAGCTTTTGTTTGATCAAAATGTATTCAATGCTTGGATGCTTCTCTTTCTAAATGTGTTGGAGAGGCCTGTTCCCTTCGAAGGTCAGCCTGCCGATCCCGAGCTTCGGAAATCATGGGGTTGGTGGAAGGTAAAAAAATGGACAGTTCACATTCTTAATAGGCTCTACACTCGGTATGTTTTGGCTGTGGATTCATTTAGTTCACTATTATTCACTGTCCTGTTCAGCGTTTCATTAATTCTCTATTTCTGTGGGTGTTTAAACTGCCTTGTTGCAGGTTTGGTGACTTGAAGCTGCAAAACCTCGAAAACAAAGCCTTTGCTCAAATGTTTCAGAAGCATTATGCAGGGAAGATTTTGGACTGCTACTTAAATCTGTTGAATGTCATTCGAGTGGGTGGTTATTTACCTGACAGAGTTATCAATCTGGTTCTTCAATATCTAAGCAACAGGTGATTATCCATTATTTTATGCCCATTAATTTGTGTACAGGTCTATTCTTTTAAACATATCCTTATTTGTGAAGGGATATACATATTCAGGTAAATACAAAACACTTAAAAGGCCAATTCATGTCCAATGCGCCCAGGGTTGGCCTTCCAAGATAAAAACCTCTGTACTGAAAATAAAAAACTAAAAAAAGTTTTAACTTAGTCATGCTAGTGAACCCTAAGTAATAGTGATGTTGAAATGTTAGGAAATATACTTTAGGCCCAAAATCCAAAACTAAATAAAAATACAGGCATAGTTCGTCTTTGAGCCTGTGGCTTCTTGAAGTTTATGTATCCAGACCCATACCCATTAGTCTTGACATATTTTCAGGGTAGGAAGGGCGAATAGGGGTGATTCTTGTCCATTGATACTCTTATCCCTTCTTTCTTTGCTCTTCAAGCTGCACATCTTGAGAATATTAGTATCTCAGTTGAATGCAGTTTTTTGCTAATGCTGGATTTCAGGGTATTAATGATTCTGGAAGTAATTTTTTTCTCTGAATTTTTTAACATATGCAGTATTTCAAAGAATAGCATGTATACTGCGCTGCAACCTCGGCTTGATGTTCTTCTTTTTGAAATAGTTTTCCCTCTTATGTGCTTTAATGATAATGATCAAAAGCTTTGGGATGAAGATCCGCATGAATATGTAAGAAAAGGCTATGGTAAGTCTTATTGATGTGTAAACATGGTCATGGAATTTCAAGTAATTTCATTGGCACAAGCTTATAGTTTCTAATTCTTTATTACAGACATTATTGAAGACTTGTATAGTCCCAAAACTGCTTCCATGGATTTTGTGAGTGAATTAATTCGAAAACGTGGGAAAGATAATCTTCATAAGTTTATTCAATTCATAGTTGAAATTTTCAAAAGGTAAATAAATTACTTATATTACGTTCTGTTAAGTAGATGATTTATGGATTTGGGGTCTTAATTAGGTTTTCACTTTGCTAGGTATGATGAAGCACCTGCAGAATACAAACCATATAGACAGAAAGATGGTGCACTTCTTGCTATTGGGGCACTTTGTGACAAATTGAAGCACACTGAGCCTTATAAATCTGAACTTGAGCATATGCTAGTGCAGCATGTCTTTCCTGAGTTCAGCAGTCCTGTTGGCCACCTTAGGGCCAAGGTACCATCTCATATATATAGTTTATATTTGCGACTTTTCTCATTTAGTGCAGGCCACA